AAACGTATATTATAATTTATAATTATATTTTATTTGAATATTTTTATAAAAATTAATTTATTATTTAATTTTTAATTTTTTTAAAATAAAAATTAATTTAATATTAATTAATATATACTATTAAATTAATTTATTATATATTTGTAGCAATTTTGAATAATAAATTATAAAGTTAAAATTATATCTGCGTTGGAGCAAACGATCGAATGATATATAACGTGACTTATAAACTGCAGCCTTGTCTGACCCCCGAATATGAAAGCAAATCAGAGGAGAACACGTAAAAAGAGGTTTTTACTAATTTTTCTTTTTATTATCAGCGGGAAATCATTATTTGATTGTATTCCCGGCTGTGCCAACTTTTATTCTCCTCCCAAAAACCTTCTTTACCTCTACTTCTACTATTCAATAGTGTATATTGTGGCTTATCTAGTGTCACATGCCAAGCCTGTTAAAGACTAACCATAGTATCTCAAATGCAAAGGCTTCAGTACTGTACCACAAGCTCCGCATATCGATTGAGTTTAAATAACTTATTCCAAGTCAAGGAGATGAACTCGCAGAATCCTAATCCTTTTCCAGAGAGGAATGTGGCAGATGAGTTCCAATCCACGGGAGAATGCTGCGCAACGCCTCACGGCATCCCTATTCCAGCTATCGAGACGGCTGTTAGTCTGTCGGAGACTGCTTTAGTGGGTCGACATGGAATTATACTTGCGGACAGCTTTAAAACTTGCCATCGAGCTTTAAGTGCTTGGTTTCCAACGTTCAACGGTAAGTCATTTCGACAATAAGAATAGTTCTGTCAGCTAATATTCAAAGATCCCAAATCTTCACGATGGATTGTAGACAGACCAGCGGCACCACAGACGCGGGGCTGGTGGATATGTGTAAGTTCTTGTGAAGCTCTTAATAATTTACTGTACACTGAAATGATAAAAGTGCACTTGTGGAAGAGAGGTAAATCCAGCAGTTTATGGAGATGTTTGCCCAGATTGCGGGCACTGCAAATGCGATCACTATTGTACATATCTATAAGGGGCATTTTAACACAGTGGACGCAACACTTGATCAGACACAGAACTCGCCCGTTGGTTTGCACTGCTTCATCTACTAAATCTCGATGGAATCATCTAAACTCTGTGCTCAAAGCTTATAAATCTTGAACAATAACCTGGACCAGACGGTATCAGGTGGGGAAAATGAAATTTTGCTGCTGCTGTGATTATCGCAAAACCATTCAGACATCAGTCACGCCATCGGTATCAAAGACGACTTTTCTTGCTAAGCTCTATTTTCCCTTCAGTAGAAAAGCGCCAAACCCAAACTTGGGCAAAGATCTACAAGGTTAGAGGAAATAGAAACATTGAATCCTCTTCATCAGAATTCTCGAAGGTAGTCCTCGACTCTGCCGCTTTACACAAGTGGCAAGTCGTTCCAACGATATCTTCACTCTTGCTAATTTCCATTTTCCTCGCTAAGACAATTTCTTCGGCATTGTAGATGGTTTCAGGTGTAGACTTTAGCTTTTCGAGCACGGAAAGCCATGTTGATTCTGCGGCGACATCATCCCATCCGCAAGTTCGACATACTATCATCGGCATCTCGAGAGGTGGATAGTCGAGAGCAAAAAGTCGCAGAAGAGTTGTTCGTGTCCAACTAGCCTCTTGTAAACAATGCTCTTTCAACTCTTGGTCTATAAAGTGCTCAATATAGATATCCATATCTCGAAGAAGGCTTCGAAAGAGAGAGAATGAAAATGAGTGCCTCATAGCGCATGATAGAGGACTCTCGCCTGAGCTATAATGGTACTGCGCGCTCTCCTTAAACTCCTCATCCATGACAACATGAAGATCCAAGCCATGGGATATCAAAAATCGGTCAGATTGACGTATTTCATGTTGTGGCTTACTCATGACGAGATTGTGTGCCGGAGAGAACCATTTAAGTAGCTCTCTCGAATTAATATTTCCAGCAACTCTGATCAACAGTGAAAGGAGGCCAACATCGTCCAGCTTGACGGCCTGATTAATAAGTTGAGCAATTCCACGGGCCATGGCAGGTATCGCAAGCGAGATATCACTTTTGAGAAGTGAAAAGGCCCATAGGAATGCTGTGGGGTGGTCGCGTGCATGAGAACACGATCCATGGTTGCATTTAGCAGTGATCAGAAGACGTCGCAATCCCCAGAGACCTGTGCAATTGATGTCATCTGAGAAATCTAAGTTGTCGAGGAAGAGTCTCAGGACCTCAATGTGCTCTTCACAAGATTTCTTTTCGCTGAGTTGACACTCTTTCAGACAAGCATACGAGGCCACAGAGCTTTGAAATATGTCAGGGAGTCGAGTCTATCAGCCAGTTCAACCAATGTAACTTACTCATTAGTAAGAGTGCGTGCATCGACGTCAGCCCCTTGATTGATCAAAAGTTTACATACATCCAACTGTCTTGCGCGTGCTGCAAACTAACATGAACACGTTAGCTAAAAAAAAGGATGACCGGGACAATATTTTAACAGACTAATACAACATACTAGGACTTACAAACAAAGGAGTCAGGCCTCTCGAATCAGTATCCCATGGCGAAGCTTGCCCGCGGTCGAAAAGCTGCTGGATCATATCAATATCACCACTCCGACAAAGGCTGAAAACTCGCGAATCATCAGGGACTGCGCGATATGTTCTCGCTCTGCAATCAAGTCCTCTAAGCGATTGTGACATGATGATTTGAATACCTAACATCAAACCAATTGTCGAGAGCCATCGAGATGGGTGAATAGTGATAATGGTCTGAAGCTGACTTCGACCTTCATCATCACTTCCTTCCTCTGCTACACTTGTTGAACTAGTAGTGACATTGGTAATGACCGAGGATGTCATATGCAGTGTACCAAATAGGCCAGTGATTGCGAAATTGCCTCTGGCTCTCACGCGGGAATACTTAACTGCTGGAGTTTTCTTCGGCAGTGGGACTCTAAGCTTGTTTTGAACCAAGTCTTCAATCTTGTCGGTGGCTGATTCGGCTGAGAACTCTGACAGTGCTGAATCTGTTAAGCTTTGGGCACCATATCGGCCAACTGGGTTTGCAATGCGAGCTGACATGATTTGACACTCCTCTCTCAGGGCTTGGATGTGCTCTTTATAATTGAGAGAATTTGTAGAAGCCATCGCGTTCATTGTTTGGCTCTTCTGCATCAATAGAAGTCTCATCCCGTGAGCAATAGCTTCCAGATCAAGTTGACGATCATTATCCCGAATGGTAGTTGAGTGCCTGCAAATGTCAGAAATACTCGCTAGATATGTAATTCAGATAGTAGGGAGCATACTCGATAGAGTTTTGTTTAGCCAAAAGTAATGTTAATTTCATGTCTTTCAAGGTTTCTCGAAACTTCCGAATCATGTCGCCTTTCCATGCAGCTTTCAAAGCTGCCCGCTTCTTGAGAGCCCGCTTCTTTGAAGTGAATCCTGGCTGGAGCTCATCAATTAGGTGGTTCAAAGCAGCCACGCTACCATTACAGCTCTCGAGTGCTTCTATTGTTGTTGCCAGAGCTCGCGAATGAGGCCTTTCGCCGTGCGCCTCTTGTCGCATCTCATCTAGAATGATTGAAACTACTTCCAGATCCCTCACAATGCAAAGAACATCTTTCGGCCCATCTCGAACTGATTGCCAAAAGTCGCAAAGCTTCTGGATCCCGCTTGCAACTTGAGCTGCCAAAGACACTACAGCAAAAGCACTAGCAGCGCTTGACAGACCATCCATATTGCTCCTCTGCTAGCATAACAAATAGAGGCGAGGCTACGGTTAAATCTTGGGCGTCACAAGCCTCGATTTCTTTCTCGACGCCCAGTATCAATAGCTAGGTCTAATTAAGTCAGGTGGAGTAATATCGAACGTGTATATCTGTATAATGATCTCAATTCTGGGAAAAGAATATCGCGTGTGATGAACGGCTTTTAAAAAAAAGGAGTACTGTTGCAATTGAGGTTTAGATGTGAGGCTTTTTTGAAGGCAGACTTGGACGTGGCTGTGCTATCTAACCCGTTTTGTAAACATGGCTGTGACCGTTCCTATCCGTGAATGGCTACTCATTTGCTGTCACCGATTTCCTAGCCCGCCAATAGTAGCTCGCAAGCAGACGGACTTATTACAAAACTATATAATTACACTTTTTTTTTAACTTAGTATTTAATTAAAAAAAAGTTAAAAACAAAGTTAAAAAAATTTAAATTAATTATTAAATTTTTAATTATATTTTATATATTATTTATTATTATAAAATAAATTTTTTTTTTTATAATATATTATAAATATTAAACAAATTTAAAAAAATTTGAAATATATTAATATAAATAAAATAAATAATTTAATAAGTTCAATATTTAAACTTTTACGTTTTTCTAATTATTAAAATACAAAAAGAAATAATCGATTTTTAATAAAAAAATATAACTTTGTCTATGCTCGCTTTATTAGGCTTAGCGTCCACGGACTTAACAGATGCCGATAAGATGTCAAACGGAGGTGCTATAAGTAAACAATCTTGATTGACTAAAGCATTATTTTATAGTCCAAATGCTCTCTTTTATCATGTTCTGCCGATAATCATTTAAAGAGTGGGGCATTGACCTCTGACTTTCGACATAGGAAAGCTCAGCCCACTGAGCTGCGCTCATGCAATCGAACCAGATTGGGGATTTTGCGTCAATGATGAACGAAATTAGGAAACGAAAAATGGCATAAGTAATACTTAAGACACTTGTAATATTTTGAGAAGTTCCAAAGGGTTCCTGGCGGTCTTTCGATCGTACTTTTCGTGTTCTCAGAAGGGACGGTCCGATGGTTTCTCCGTCACCAATCGGAACTGTTAGAGACCCACTCTATGTTGCAACACGTATAATTTTAAATTAGAAGTTTCTGGCATCGATCTAAAGTTGCTCTATGCAAAGTCTTCGTGGCTCAGTGTAAGCTTTCCAACAATTCTAGAAAATATCTCAAAACCCTAATTTGAAGCAGTGGTTAGAGCGTTGGTCTCATATACACATATATGACAAGATTGTTAACAATTTGGCCATCCAAAGGTCGTGAGTTCGAGTCTCACCGAGGACAGCAAGATTGAAATTTTTTTTTGCTTACCCTGCTTACCAGAAAGTACTGGGAGCTGGGCCGATGGTGAGCCGAGGGCGGTCACCGGCCTAAGTAAAGCGGCAAGCTGCTAACCGAATGCGACGCACAAGAGAGAGAACGCCTGAATCTGTGAATCTGTGCGAAACCAAGTCTGCAGATGAGGCTTTGACCTCAAGGAACAAGGTTGCAGCAGTTGCTTCGTGCATCAATCCCAGTTTTAAGGCAAAATAGGATATGGAAGTATTAAAAGCGACGTCAGATATTTTGAAGGTTAATCTAAGTCTCAGGCTGCAGAAATGCGCAGACGATTGCTGAGAAACAAGCGAAGATAGGATAGGGGGAGAAGTTGAACTGTTGCTACTTGGCAGGAACTGCAAGGGACGCTTGTTTCAAATGCCGTAAGATTTATTACGCTTTGGGCTCTGAAATTAAAATGATCTAGAAGATTTGATGACATTTGTGTTCAAGTCTAACCCTTTTTTTTTTTTTTTGGTAAAGTATTAAATTTATTTGGGATGATCACGTGGCGTGAAAGCCTTGTTCTGATCTAACGATCTTGAAAATTCTTACTTGATCACAGCAACGCCAAACATGGCGGTTTGTAGTCAAACCGAAGGCTTTCAATCACCGACTGATACTGCATCGCTTTACGAATTCCCCGAAACCATTCATCCATCACTTCCAAAGAATAAGCTCATCAGAATAGCAGATGTGGCAACAGGAACAGGGTATACTCTCTCAGCGCCCCAAACGTCTTGGCATTAATTCTCTCTAGAATCTGGATAGACGAGTCGGCAAAAGCGATGTCAAGCATGCCAACTCACAACAGAAAACCTCAAAAATACGACGGTTTCGAATTTCAGATGGTTTTTTCCTAGGCTGCTCGTTTTTTCCCCCATGGGGCCCCACGAGGACGTGCGGCGGGAGGAAGCTTGAATAATATGAGCTTCGGTAAAGAGGTAAAAAAAAAAGGCCCGGGCTTAAATAATTAAAAACCGAGCTTTTTAGTAAAATTACTTGCGGATTTTTAATTGATGCAAGGATCTTAACATGTCGTGGGGCCCCATTTGGGGGGAAAACGAGCAGCCTAGTTTTTTCCACAAGGAATCAAAGCCGGATGTCAAGTACATTACTCACAACATCCTGCAACCTTTCCCTAAGGAGTTTCACGGCTGCTATGACCTCGTCCGTGTCCATATTCTTATCGCTGCATTGAAGAAAGTTGAGATTCCCACGGCTGTGTAGAATTTGCTTAAACTCTTGTGTATGTCATGTGCGCTGCCTCAATATCCCCATAGAGTATTGGCAGGAACAGAGCTCCCGGTGGCTACATCCAATGGGACGAGTGGGATTTCAACCGCGTCGAATTCTGGAAATGCCAGCCGGAAGCAAAAAACTCTACACCGAATTCATCGAATTCACGAAATAACTCAGCTTTGCAAACGACATCCTAAGCGTCCTCTATTCATTGTTCGAAAATTCTGGGTTGGCGAGTGTTTCTAGACCCGAGTTCTATTCTCTGAGGGATGAAGAGACAAAGTAGAGGACGAGAGAGGTTTCTAGAGTGGGGTGGACGGAATCCACAAAGACCTTACTGCCGATTCAATATGCAAAGACGGCAGATGGAAAGCCGAGGAGCGCAGAAGAAATCAATGCTATGGTTCAAAATGCCGTGATGACTCTGGAAAAATGGTATAAAAAAGGGGGATTCCCAAGCATTCCATTAATAATGGTTATAGGACAAAAGGATTAGCTTATTTTCACGCGCAAAAAGTGGCAGAACTTCATTTCTATGCACTTTTCTGCAAAGTAGGTCACACAGTCGCTGTCTTTTCTTTGGTTATTCCTACCGACGAAAAGCATTCATTTTGAGATGCAAAGAAAATCTATTTCACACTCTACCAATAGATCTACTTAGTTGAACCAAGGTCCGAGTTGAACAGAAGCCACGGTGAGCCATAGAGAATAAACGGCGCCTGTATGTACATACCGTTAGAGTCTAGAGCTTGCATATTAGGAAAAGGAAAATCCATGGAAAAAGCTTACCCAAAAGTACAACCCTTTTGTTTCATCTCTCTCTCGCATTGCACGCACTGCCTTCTGATAAGCCGTAGCAAGATCGAATACAAAGGCTTTCTTTCCTGTCTGGATGTTGTTGCTCAGATCCTTATAGAAGTGTTCTGTGAAAGTAGAACTGGCGTATACATCGTCCAGTTCCCAGAGAGTCCCCAAGACGGAGCCAGCCCCAGCAATCGTCAACGCAGTCAAGAAACCTAGTGGTTCATCTCCAAGCGTTAACTTCTGCTGCCCAGACTGACAGGCAACAAGTGATATGTGAGGTGATTGAAGGACTGGAGTTTCAAAGAGTTTCTTGACTGTGACATCTTTATCGTACATTTTCAGTACACTTTCTTCGAGAATGTCAGAGGAGTGAAATTCGGCGTGCCCCTGATAATGAATTAAGCTGTGTCTTTGTATCGCCCCAATGAGAGCGTGCGATGTCGCATTTTCGCCAACAAAAACATCAGCTTTTAAATATTCTCCTATCTCAATCACCATCCTGCTTTCGGCCTTGTCAGCAGGTGTTGGATCTCCGAACACAGCGACTTTGAATTCTTTGCTTGATTCGGAGGGCGCTATGTTCGTTGCGCGGGCAAGGACTTGGCGGAATATGGCCAATGCATTGCTGTATACAACTGGATTCCATTCGATGATCGGACGAGTGTCTCCTCCTCGTGTCAAATTCAAGGCATGAAGAGGAATAGCGCAGAGTAACCCAGTGGGAACGAAAACAAGAAGTTCTCCTTCAGCCGCGATATTGGAAAGGTGAGAAACAAGTCCCTCTAGCACTTCCAGTTCTTCGGGGATTGCGTCTTCTAGTTTTTCCACACTATCTTCAGCGTATATGTAACACTCCAGCCACTCCTGAACATCTGCAGTAGCGACCTCAGTAGCAAAGTATTGTGGAAGTTCCCCAGGTCGAACTGTAATCATGTGGTAAGCTCCATCTTCTAGCTCCACCCAGTCGACGCAGAGGACGTTTTTTCTTCCCCCAAACATGGAATCTAAATCGCTGATATCAAGATATCCACCTTGCCTAATTGCCTGGATCGAACGCAAATCCGGAATCGAATTCATTTCCCTGCGCAGGTCAAGATGTTCCATCCGCAAATGGAATCTCCACCCTTCATCCGCACTTTCTATGTCATTCAACAAGGCGTGCTCTCGTTCAAGCAGAGCGAGCGAATTTTGTGACAGATGTTGTGAAAGGTTGGAGGGTATCAAGCGACTCAATCCCAGTGAAGTGGCAACAGCTCTTGCTTTCGCCTTTTGCGTCCATTTCCAAGCTTGGAGATTATTGTTGTCGTTTTTGCACAGCTCGATAGCAATTTTGTAGAGATCAGTAGAGTTGTTTTTTCGAAGTCGTTGTCGCACTTCCAATCCTTGTAATCCACGGTAAGCAGAAGCCTCACTCAGTATCTCTTCCCATATCTCTTCCCATTCCTGTATCCAGCCCAGAACATCAGCCAGAACAAAAGTCATAGCGACAGAACTTTGGCGCCAGAAAGAACACATTTGCACCAATGCTTTCAGGCATCTAGCTGCCATTAACATATCTCCAAGCTCCCGTGCCGCATTTATAGCTTCAAGATACGCAACTTTGGCACTGTTGAAGTTTTCCGAAGAGGAAGTTCGAGCACTTTGTGTCATGAAGGTAGTTGCCAGCAAATGTTGAACGTTAGCTCTATCTCGTTTCGGCATGTTATCGCCTTGGGATGAAAGCATATTCTCGCAAAGCTTAACAGTCTCCGCCGTTCGATCCATCCGTTGCAAAATTCCGGCGTGGACAAAATCGAGCGATGCTCGGGAAGAGCTCTTGTTATCGATGTGTACGTGTGGTAGAATCTCCAGTCCGGCTTCGATCCATTGAATGGCATTTTTCAGGTAGCTCTCCCGATTGTGTTCCTCGACGCTGGACCTGTCCCATCGGACAACCCAAAGATCTGCCAGATAAACAGCCATAGCAACTAGTGTGTGGAATTCAGCAAGTCGCTGCCTACTGTCGCTCTCGCTACTCTCACGGAATAGCTCGGCTAGAGACAATATGCGATCTTGAATTTCTGAGATTGGCGCAGAAGTTCTCAGCTGCTCCCGCCGAAGCCCAGCAACGGTTACTTCATTGGCTATGATAAGCTTTCTATCACCAACCTCCTTTGTGAGAGAAAGACAAAGTTCGGCGTACTCTGTCGCCTTAATGCCATCTCCGATTGCTTGATACGCAACTACTAACATAGTTGCGAAATTTTCCTTGTATAGCCGAATTGAGCAGGTATTTCTGTTTTCTTCGAAGAAAGCTTCACACATCTCAATGCCCTTTCCAAAAGAAGTTGGCTTCATGAATTCGAACATCCAGACCTGTGACTGCATGTGCCAGAAGTTGAACCTGTTCCCCGTTTGTTTATAAACCTCCTTTATTTCTTTCTGGCAAGCTTGAAATTGGGGTTGAAAAGAGGGTGGACCGCACTGAAGCATTTCCGATAGTTCACATAGAGCCGAATTAGTCCCGATCCAGTCTTCGCAGCTTATTAGATCATCTGCTATTCTTCTGAGGTCCTCGCAAGTCTTCATTGGATCCGTCATTGCTGTCTTATCGAGAATAGCGATCTGAAGCCTGGCGAGTGCTTGTCCGTTGATCGAATCGAGTCCACCAAACAATTCGAGTGCAATTCTGAAACTTTCCACCCCTTCCGTTGGACGATCAATTCTGCAAAGGGTCTTGCCGATCGATATCTGAATATGCGCTGCATAAAATGGCATACAGTATTCATAAAAGCCCAGTGCATAAGGGGGCATAGTGTCTGCAACGGCTGCTGAGGCATCTAGATATCAAAAGTCAGGCTCGTAAGACTCTCTACACCTTTGTACTTTACCTTTATCGAACATCTCCAGATAATTCTCAAAGATATTCAGCTGCTCGAGGG